GCCCCCAAAAAAATGATATTACGAAGGGTCGCCGCTCTGTTCCTTATTGACGATGAAAGAGAAGAGGGAGGAGGGAGCAAAAAAAAAATAAAAAAAAAAATGGAATTCTTGCCGGTTTTGTGGGGCGTTGCCGCACTTGGGGGGTTTGGGCTTGGCTCGATTTGAACCAGCACCAAGCCCAAAACCCCCAAGTGTAGCCACGCCCCACAAATCCCCCATTACCCCGCCCACACCTATCTCGCCCATGACCCTCCCTAAGAACCTCCCAAAACTGGTGGCGCAAAGCAGTGCCCACTGCCACGGGCGAGGACCCGAGGAAACCTCGGTGGAGCAGGTGGGGTTTTGTAAGTGGGGGCGGGGCGGGAGGGGGGGGAAGAGGATGGGGGTTGGTATAAGCGGAGGGTGGTGTTTGCGGCGGGTAGGGGGGTGGGCCTCCGGGGCATGTTTTTATCACGTATGGTTTCCGACCAACGAGGCCCACCATCCCCAAGCCCCCGACGTGTGCGCTCGGGGCGCGGGGTCGCGTTCAATGTTTTCGCGCCACGTGGAGCGTAGCGAGTTTGAACGCGACTAAACGCGACCCTGCCCCGTATGAACAAGCACATTCGAACGCGAACGCGCATTCGACACGTTCACACGGTTACACATGTGATAACTAAGATGTTCAAATCCAGGTTCTCACAATGGAGTGGAGATATGTCGTTACATGTGGTAATCGGAACAAAAAAAACGAGGGATCGGAGGGAGGTTCATTGTATTGGATTGAATGCGAGATGAAAGGATTGATGAGGAGACATCCGGATCGAGGGATAAGGGGATGTTTGCGAATTGCGGTAACCCGTAGACGTTTTGTCCCCTGGTGTTAGGAGTAAAAGTTGGGGATACTGAGTATTGTTGAAATCTAAGATGGTATGGGCGATAATCTCCTTCAAGATTGGTATGATCTTGGATCGTTGAGAGGTGGAGGCAGAGTTTATGATTGAGTAGAGTGCATGTGGCTTCGGGAGAGGTTGTGGCAGCGGGAAGGATGATTATGAGTTTCCGCCTGAATAACATTGTTTTCAATGACTGAATAAATGGAGGGATGCTGATTCGTCGCGTTGAGACTTGTCCTACAGGAGGATTATGCACTTCACCAATTTAGAGTGTATCTCACCGGGGTTAATATGTCCATTTGATATGAGGGTGACAAAGGAGGTTTCTGAACACGAGATTGTTGATATTGTATGTTGGCAATTCCTATAGGCATAGCTACGGACCAATATGCTGGGAAATCAGGGATCTGCACACATAGTTTTTTGAAAGATTGTGAGAATTCACAACAAGGCGTGATCTGGGAACGACTTGGGGTCGGATTGGGCATAAGAATGATGGGCAGGAGAGCATGAGGAGAAGGGAGAGTATAAATGGATGCTATGGCACTTGGCGTCATGATTGTCCAGGAGTTGCACGTCGAAATGTTGACAAATATTACAATCGACATTCATGGATGGGTATGATAGTAATTTGTGTCGTGAATCCCCTGTTTTGTGGCCGATACGATCCTTCTGCTATCGAATAATAATCCTTCATGTGTTTGTGTTTTTTGTCTTGGAATTTCTCCTTATGCGAAGAGTCATAGTCTCATCATCTTCTGAATTTGAGTATGTCTATCCCTGAAATAAATTGTTTATAATATCCTTTACTAATTGGTTTACAAACTTACTTGCCACTGTCATAAACCAGTCTTCGGCCCATCATCGGTTATATAGCAATTAGCTCAATATCCCATAGCACTCCAAAAATGAACTGAAAATGTCGAATTTTATGAAAAGATGTTTTTTGCAACTCCTGGATGAATGTTTCAAATCCGAATGCCATTGTTTACAGATCATGAGATTCAAGTGTGGTTTAATATAAGCACAACTGGGTTTAGCGGTGGTTCGCCACGCTGTTTTGCACGGTAGTGCTCTGTCAGTTCACACACACACACACACACACACACACACACACACACACACACACAAACACACACATGCACACACACACACACACACACACACACACACACACACACACACACACACACACACACACACACACACACATCCATCAGTCAAATGCATCCCAGGCAGACTGTCGGGGTGAAACCTCTTGATAAGTCGTTGAAAGGCCGATGAAACGGTACTCTACGCCTATCTACTGTACTCTACTCTACTCTACTCTACTCTACTTTACTCTACTCTACTCTACTCTACAACAATCTACTCTACTCTACTCTACTCTACGACAAGATATTCTACTCTACTTCCTGACACTCTACTCTATGACACTACTGTACGAAACTCTACCCTACTCTACGACACTCTACTTTACGACACTCTACTCTACGTTACTTTATGAGACTTTACTCTACGATCATCTACTGTACTCTACGATACTCTATTCTACGACACTCTACTCTATTATATCCTACTCTACTTCATTGTATATAACACTCTACTTTACTCCACTCCAGTCTACTTTGCTCTAATTTACTCTACTTTACTCTACTCTATCCTACTTTACTATACTCTATGACAATCTACTTCACTATACTCGACGACACTTTATGACACTCTATTCTACTCTACTCTACTC